GGAAAACCACCGTCACCTCTCCGCTGGGAAGCGCTGATCAAAGGCGAGTCTCCAGGCAACGCGGCCGATTTGATCGGCACAAGGCATGCAAGCTCCACCCCCCCCAGTCGTTCTTAGACTCCTTATTGGGTGAGCAACGCAGCCAAGCAACACAGTTGGAGCCTCCCTCCTCCCTGGCCGGCAGGGAGGGAGGGAGGGAGAGGAGCTGCTTCCTTTGAAACCTGGGAAATTTAAGGGACATCATCACTAAGGGACAGCAGCGGGACACAGCGCTGGGATAAGTGACTTTCCCGCCAAATAAGGGACAGTTGACAGCTATGGGCTGAATCATGGAATCGCAGAAATGTGGAGTTGGAAGGGACCCCAGGGGTCATGTAGTCCAACCCCCTGCGATGCAAGAATCTCAGCTAAATCATCCCTGGCAGATGAGCATTCAACATCTGCTTTAAAACCTCCAATGAAGAAAAGCACACCACTTTCTGATGGAGTCCATTCCACTGTTGCCACCAGAAAGGCCTTCCTAATGCTTAGAATCTCCTTTCTTGTAACTTGAAGCCATTGGTTGGAGTCCAACAGCATCTTTCTTGGGCAAGCCTTGCTGAAATGGGAGAGGAGCTAGCAGGTCTTATCACAAAAGAAGATATCCCTTTGGATCCTAAAATAGCCCTTCTGTTGTACTACTCAGAAGCTGCTCAACAACTTTTCCACAAGGATCTAGTTACTCGCCTGATGGCTTACTATTGCAAGGAGCTGGAAGACTCTAAATGCAGGCATGTTTGAGATCAGGACCTCACAACTCAGGCGTTTAATATTGTTACACAAGTCGGTTCTTGGGAGAGACTGGCTGCAGGCAGCCTGCACTGCTGCCTCTTGAGATGACTATGCAGTAAGATCTGGACTCCATGCAGACGGAAGGTGTAAATAGGTGAATAAGACATATTCTTCTTTTTAAAAGAAAGTTTTTATTAAATTTTACATTTTTATCATATTGTTGTTGTTGTTTAGTCATTTAGTTGTGTCAGACTCTTTGTGACCCCCTGGACCAGAGCACGCCAGGCACATCTGTCTTCCACTGCCTCCCGCAGTTTGGTCAAACTCATGCTGGTAGCTTAGAGAACACTGTCCCACCATCTCATCCTCTGTCGTCCCCTTCTCCTTGTGCCCTCCATCTTTCCCAACATCAGGATCTTTTCCAGGGAGTCTTCTCTTCTCATGAGGTGGCCAAAGTATTGGAGCCTCAGCTTCAGGATCTGTCCTTCCAGTAAGCACTCAGGGCTGATTTCCTTAAGAAGGGATAGGTTGGATCTTCTTGCAGTCCATGGGACTCTCAAGAGTCTCCTCCAGCACCAGAATTCAAAAGCATCAATTCTTCGGCGATCAGCCTTCTTGATGGTCCAGCTCTCACTTCCATACGTCACTACTGGGAAAATCATAGCTTTAACTATACGGACCTTTGTTGGCAAGGTGATGTCTCTGCTTTTTGAAATGCTGTCTAGGTTTATCATATTACATCATATCAATTCATCAAAATAAAGATATGCATTCCCCCAATTCCACACACACCCCGACTTCCCTCAACCTCCTATTCTGGTTTCCCCCAATATTGGTTTCCTCTGCTTGCTTTCCTGTACCTTCATAGGGTATTAATTATTGTTATCTTTTATCACTTTGGCATCATCTTTATAGTTTTTATACTTATTTTTGTTAATTGTACATGTTTACTCAAATCCTGCTAGTGAATCTATTTCTTTACATTGTTTCTGTAAGTAAAGCATAAATGGTTCCCAACCTTTTTAAAAATTCTCTGTTTTCTTTGTCTCTGAGTCTTTCTGTTAGTTTCAATTCCATCAGATTTTGTACCCTTCTTTAGTTGGTATTTCATCACTTTTCCATCTTTGGGCTAGTAGCATCCTAGCCGCATTCGTAGCGTCCATGAATAATTTCTTCTTTTCTGTTGGCAATTCTTGACCTGAAATGCCTAATAAAAAAGCTTCCTTTTTTTTTTAGTAAAGGTGAACTTAATTTTTTTCTTAATTTCCTTATAAATCATATCTCAATAATTTTTAATCAATTTGCAGCTCCACCACATATGAAAAAAGTACCTTCCGTTTCTTTACATTTCCAACACTTATTGGAGCCTGTTCTGTACATTTTTGCTATATTTTCAGATGTAATATACCATCTTTAGATCATTTTCATATAATTCTCTTTTAATAGTATACAACCAGTAAATTTCAAATTCACTCTCCACAGTTTCCCCCATTCTTCCATAAGCCATATTCTTTTGTTAAATCATTTTTATTAATTTTCCAATAAAAAACATCCAATTAAGATGTCAAATCATAATCCAATTAAAATAAAAAACTAAAATAAAAAAGACCAAATTATCATCCAAATTACAATTATTAATTTTTTGGGACTTCCCATAGTCTGGACCTTCAAGCATTTCCAAATCTCAGTCCTGCCTCTCCATAAGCCATATTCTTAAAGCCAGGTGGCTGGCACCACTTGGGCTCTTGCCACCGCTCAGCAGAGAGAGGGGCAGGTACCCAGCTTTTATAAGACTATAAATGGACAAACCGACAACCCATGGAAACCAATACTTTCAATCAACCTGGCGTAGTTTTATTACACCTGCAACAGTGGCAGAACATGGCTATGGGCCTCAGAGGACACATGGGAAATTTGTGGAATGATGCCTTTGCCTAAAAACTGGAATGGCTTCAAAGTTAGATGTGACTAAACAGATATTTAGTGCATCTCTCTCTCTGTGTGGATTGCTGAATATTGATGGTTGCTTCTTGTATAAAAACTTGAAAACAATAAAATGTTTTTTTGGGGGGGGGTTAGGGGGGAGGAACTGCACCAGAGCACTATAGGTCATCTCAGACCCACCTCCCACTCTGCTGCCACTTTTAGGACACCCAAAACTTTTTGCTGGATATGGCTACCTTCCATTGACTCCCAAGAAGGGAAAAATCTGGGCATATTCAATGCAAAAAAACAAACTTTGAAGACTGCCTTTCTGTTCCTCGTTATTTAACTGCCAAGTGCATGCGCAAACGAACCAGGAAATCTATATCTGGTTTCATAACCTTTTCCCACACTCCTAACCACCGCTGTGTCTCTCCAAAGAGTTTAGCGAGCAGGGAAGCAATGATTACAGCTCTTTTGCTTATGAAAACAGCAACACTCCTCGGGGCAATATTGAACATGACAAGGAGGCAGCAGCAGCATCTTGTATGACCCAAAGCATTGTCTCGTCGAGTTAAAGAGTCCTGAAACATCGTGTCAGGTAGAAAGCCACAGGATGCGATGATGGTACATGATGATGGGGAGGGGGAGGGGAGGGGGAAAGCAGCCCCACACTTCCTGGTTTCCCTATGGGGAGGTTTGCTGCTCATTTGCAGGCTAAGCAGGCCCTCCACCCTGATACAATGATAAATGACCCAGGGTTGCCCACAGAGGCGCAAACATTGAGAAGAGGAGGTCTTTACTTGGCCAAAGGGAAGCCAGGCTCGGTGGTGTGTGTGTGTGTGTGTGTGTGTGTGTGGAGAGAGGGGTTGCAGCTACAGAAGGCAAAGAGGATAACAAACGAGGGTGTGATGGCCTGGGATTTGGACTCAGAGGCTGAACCTGAGGGATCCCAGCCTGCACAGGATTCCCCGCCTCCAGAACCAGCTGAGCCGGGGCTGGGGCCTGAGCCTGAAGGGTCCTCACCTGTGCTGGGTCCTCAGGTGCAGGCATCAGCTGAGCCTGCTCTGGCTCCTGAGGTGATGGAGGATCCATTGCCTACAGGTGCTCCACTCTCAGCCCCGTCAGAGGAAGCTGAGGTTGCCTCTGGGTCTGGTAACCCTCCAGCCTCTCCTGAGCTGCAGAGGCTCAGGGCAGAGAGGGAGGGAACTAAGTTCCCGCTTGCCTCTAGGCCAGGAGAAAAGGGTTTATACCTTGGCCTTTTCTATTCCTGAAGATGTCCCACGTGGGTGTGGATTGGCGGGCACCAGCTTGGCTGCAGGAGTTGCCGGAAGGAAGTTTAACAATTAATCTCTCTTCCCAGGGAACTCTGGGGATTGTTACCTCTGGGAGGTGAATAGATGAGGAGAGACAGGGGGGAGGGGAATTCTGTGGCTCAAGCAGAAATCCACTGCGCTAGTGGAACAGCTGTGCTGGATACCACACAGACCCATCACAGACCACACAGACAAAAATGACTCCTAAGAGACACCAGGGAAGTCTTCTCCCAGTCCGGGATTACATTGTGGACTTTTGCTACTACAAGAGGAGGTGATGCATGGATGGCCCTAAAACAGGTGTTTCCCAGATGTTATTGGACTCCAGCTGCCATCATTCTAAGCCAGCACGATCAATGGTCAGAGGGTGGTGACCTCTGCAGTCCAATAGCATCTGAAGTACTTCGGGGGCCCCATCCCTGCCCCGAAGTGTTCAGAGGCAAATGGTCTTCTGATATTAACTGCGAGTGGCGCGGGACTGGGTGGCGGAGAAGAGATTAAACAGGGAGAGGGGCGGTCGCCTTCCCGCCTGATTTACAAGCTTCCCAGGCGCATCAGTCTGGCCAAGATGCTGCGCTAAACGGGGATCCAACCCGCCACGTTCAGTCCACCCCCCCCCCGCAATCCCATTTACAGGCCTCCCAGTCCCAACTGGGCTGCGGTTCCCCCAGCCAACCCGTGGTCCCCTTGTACTGGGCGACGGCGTCCTCCCGGGCGAAGCACCCCAGGGTGTCCTGGGAGTGCGGGTGGGCGCCTAAGCCGCATCCAACGCTCCGGAGAGGACGTGCGCTTCCTTTTCCGCAGCAGGAGCGGCGCCTCTCCTCTGCTGCGGCCGCCCCCTCCTCGGCGAGGGCAGGGGGGCAGGAGGAGGAGCTCCTCTCTCCGGGGGCGGCTTCCCTGAGCCAATGGAGGCCGGGCACTGGGCTGGAGCTGGCCAATGGCGAGCGTGGGGGGGCCCCGAGGAGTGGAGGGGCGGCTGCGGCAGCAAGGCGCTCGCAGAGGCTGGCGGCGCGCAGGCAGAGCAAGGCTGGCCGTCGGCGCAGCAGCTGCAGCAGGCGCTGTCCGCCGTTCCTGGTGCTGAAAGCTCCGTGGTGCTGAACGCGCCTCCGCTCGCTCGCTGCTGCTGCTGCTGCCGGTGGCCGTCGAGGGGCAGCGGCGGCTGCTGTGCTCCATGGACGAGATGGAAGAGGAGCTCAAGTGCCCGGTGTGCGGCTCCTTCTACCGGGAGCCGCTGATCCTGCCCTGCTCGCACAACCTGTGCCAGGCGTGCGCCCGCAACATCCTGGTGCAGACGCCCGAGGCGGACTCGCCGCAGAGCCGTCGCGCCTCGGGCTCCGGCGGCTCGGCCTCCGATTATGACTACCTGGACCTGGACAAGATGAGCCTCTACAGCGAGGCGGACAGCGGCTACGGCTCCTACGGCGGCTTCGCCAGCGCGCCCACCACCCCGTGCCAGAAGTCTCCCAACGGCGTGCGCGTCTTCCCGCCGACCGTGCCGCCCGCCGCGCACCTGCCGCCGGCCTCGGCCGCTTCTCTGGCGCCGGTGCCGCGCAACTCCTGCCTGACGTGCCCGCAGTGCCACCGCAGCCTGATCCTGGACGAGCGGGGCCTGCGCGGCTTCCCCAAGAACCGCGTCCTGGAGGGGGTCATCGACCGCTACCAGCAGAGCAAGGCGGCCGCCCTGCGCTGCCAGCTGTGCGAGAAGGCGCCCAAGGAGGCCACCGTCATGTGCGAGCAGTGCGACGTCTTCTACTGCGACCCCTGCCGCCTGCGCTGCCACCCGCCGCGGGGGCCGCTAGCCAAGCACCGCCTGTTGCCCCCTGCCCAGGGCCGGGTCAGCCGGAGGCTCAGTCCGCGCAAGATCTCCACCTGCACCGACCACGAGCTGGAGAACCACAGCATGTACTGCGTCCAGTGCAAAGTGCCCGTCTGCTACCAGTGCCTGGAGGAGGGCAAGCACTCCAGCCACGAGGTCAAGGCCCTGGGTGCCATGTGGAAGCTCCACAAGGTCAGCCCCCGGGAGTGTGTCTGTGGGCGGGCGGGAGGGAGGGGGGAAGAGCTTTTATTTGTTTGCTTTATTGCATTTATATCTTACCCTTTGCTCCAAGAAGCTCATAGTTCTCCCCACTCCACATTGCAACCCACAACAATTCCGTGCGAGGTAGGGTAGGCTAGGAGACTGTGACTGGCCCAAGGTCACCCATGGAGATTCAAGGGGGGATTTGAACCCTGGACTCCCAGGCCCTAGTTCAACACTCTCACCACTATACTATAGGGCTGGCATGCAGTAACCTGAAGGTCCATGGGGGGGGGCTTCTTCCCATCTCTCCCATCCATCCATCCATTTCATTTCTCTTCTCTTCTCTCTCCATCTCTTTCTCTCTCACTTATCTACCTCTCCACTTGGTTCTGTTTAAATGTCTTCAGTCTCCAACTCTCCCTCTCCTCCCCCCCTTCTCTCTCTCCGCCTTCCTCGACTTGGTGCCCCCCCACCAGATGTTACCTGACTACAACTCCAGAGCACCCACCATGGCTCACTGGGGCTGATGGGAGTTGTAGTACCAAGCAGCTGGTGGGCACTAGTTGGGCAGTCAGCTTTGAAGAGTTCCCTTCCTCCCTTTCCATCTCTTGACTCCCTTCATTCCACCACTTCGTATTTTTCTGCAAGGTCCCTCCTTAGGGTTCATCCACACCGTCCCTCAATGTGAATAGCAAGCTTCCTGGCCCTCCGTTAATTTTCATTTGCCCATAGGACGTTCTCCTCTAAATCACTGCCTCCCCACACTTTCCTCTCGCTCCATACGGATTTTCTCATACCCTCTCATTTTTAGAGGATGGCTGGTATGTGAAAATCCAGACTGGGGGAGAAGGAACGTTTGTGGAGGCAGTGATTTGCAGGAGAACGCCATAAGGGTAATGGAGAATCAGTAGATGTACATCCATATTAAATGACAGTATGGACGAGCGAACACTCTCATCCTTCCTTCCTTCCTTCCTTCCCTCCCTCCCTCCCACCCCTTTCCTCTCATCAGCCAGCTTCCTCCCTACCTGACTAATCAATCCCACCCCCCATCTCCCTCCCCCGCCTTTAATGATTCAGTCTCAGCTCCATGTAAACAACCTTCTTCCCAGTCTTTGCTCCTCGGTGGGCTCCCAGGAGTCCCTTTCCAGACCCCCCCCAGCTGCTGCCCCTCCTGTCTGTCAGCCAATCCAGCTGCTTCTTGGGGTGTCTCTCACCCTGATTTCGAAGCGCAGAACTGCTGGGGCCCCATTGCCTCTTTTCCCATGGCTCTTGCCACCCCCAACCCCATTTTCTTGGCTGCTGTTCAAGTGTTTGCACCAAGCTGCCTGCAGTGCAAAGCAACACAGACCTGGGAGTGGGGGGGCATTTGGGGGTGGATGAATTTAACATTGACAGATGAGTGGGTGTGGGGGGTGGTCAGGAACAGGGATGGAATAGACTTTGTTATGCTGCAGCCCTCGACTGTCCTTATATCACCCCTGGGACTGCCCAGGCTTCCATTGCCTTTGCCCACATCCAGGCGATGTTCCCCACAGAAACCCCTACAGGCTTTTCTTGCAAACGCCCCTCTCAGTTTTCAGTGAGGCGGCAAAGGGCAGGACGAGATATCTGGAGCCAGGGGTGGTCGGCAGGGTGCTGCAGTGGCGTAGCGTGGGTAGTCAGCACCCGGGGCAAGGCAAGTAATTTGCGCCCCCTAACCCGTGGATTTGCGCCCCCTAACCTGTGGATTTGCCCTAACCCCAGATGTTGCGCCCGGTGCGGCCGGCCCCCCCTGCACCCCCCACGCTACGCCACTGGGGTGCTGGGATCAATCCTGGCTTGGTGCAGCTGTTTAGGGTCTCTCAGCTGCATTTCTGTGTTGCCATATGCGCAGGAATGTGTCGTGTTTATTTTGTTAAGAGGGGGAAACGCTTTGCCTGTGCCTGTCAGAGGTGATATTTTCAGCACTGTTCCTTCACTGACGACAGAGCTGGCCATTGGCATTGGAAGAAAATGAATTCTTGGGTTCAAACGAAGGGTCTGTGGAGAGAGGGGCTTTAAGCCAGTGACAGATCTCAAGAGCATCAGAGGAGATTTCGGAGGCTGCTTTCTGGAGGATTAGATTTCTCTCCTGAATGCTGACCAGCTTCTCTGCAAATTATTTCAGATGGCACTTGATGTTGCTTGATGCTGCCTTTGCCAACCCAGTGCCCTCCTGATGCTGTCGGACTGCAACTCTCATCAGCCCCAGCTGGCACGAATGCAATGGGAGTTATAGTTTGACAACATCTGGAAGACATCAGGTTGGCAAAGGCTGGCTGAATAAATATGGAGCAGCCACTCCAGTGGTGGGTGGGAAGAATGAGATGAGGGGTATGGTTTTAGACTCCCACCAAACCCACCCATTCTACACCCCACTCCACCCACCCACCGGCTACCCATGTCTCACGGTCACAGGGGATCTGGCTGCAGGATTGCGACCCTGCCTCTGAGGTAACTAGGGCAGAGAAGCGACTCTGATGTGGCTGGATATCCCCTCCTCCCCCACGTACCCTGATGGAACACGTAAGCCGGGCATCAGCGCATGGATGCACATCGGCATAATTGATTCCCCTCTCACACACACACCCGATCACCCTCACTGAGCTGTCTGGGCAGGGAGCCAGGATGTGGCATGTTCAGGATGGTGTGTGGGAAGAAACCACCTAGTGACACATTTATCCCTGGAGAGGGTTTGGCGGTGGTGATTTTTTGCTTTTTGCAAATGTCGCACCTGGACTGTGAAGTCCATGTTCCAATGCGCAAACCAAAAGCATCTGCCTCTGTTGGAGATGAAGCGCATGTACACCCATCACCGTCAGTTGAAACTCCAGCTACGATTCTGCCTGGTGTAGCCAGAACCAACGGTGTGTGTAAAATTACGGCTAAGTGTTGCATCGTGAGCGGGGAGACCCTGTTTCCTCTCTGCTCATCCATGAAATGCAAAGTGCCCTCACAAATGGTCACAAATGTGGGGATAATCACACTGCCTCGCTCTACTCCGGGTTTTTGCATGGATTGCTGAAACAATGTATGTGGTATGCTATGACTTAACAGCAGCCAAAGCTTTTAGCTTCAGGTCTCATAGTCAACACAGTGGTACCTTGGGTTAAGAACTTAATTCGTTCTGGAGGTCCGTTCTTAACCTGAAACTGTTCTTAACCTGAAGCACCACTTTAGCTAATGGGGCCTCCTGCTGCCGCTGCACAATTTCTGTTCTCATCCTGAAGCAAAGTTCTTAACCCGAGGTACTATTTCTGGGTTAGTGGAGTCTGTAACCTGAAGTGTCTGTAACCTGAAGTGTCTGTAACCCGAGGTACCACTGTAATGAATTTAGTGCTGCTCAAGGTGCCGTGTGAGATGTGACAATAGGACATTTCTCCTCAAACCACATGAACCAGGAATACACAAAATGTCATTTGTTGCGATGGGAGTATTTGGAAACAAGGGTGCCCTACAACCTAGTGCACCCCAGGTGTTTTGGACTACAACTCCCATCAGGTAATTATTGGTTGGGCGGTGCAGACCAGGGTTGGCCATAGACAGAGGGGAGGTATTGGAGTCAGAGCCAGTGATGGGCAGAACTGGACAGAGCACCCCATTTCTCTCTTTCAGCCACCCCCCCCCTCTCTCTCTCTCTCTCTCCCTCTCACTTCTTTTCTCCCACATTCTCTCTTCTTTTCTAACCTTCCTTTCTCTCTCATTTCTGTCACCACCACCCCCATCATAGAATCATAGAATTCTAGAATTGTAAGGGGCCTTGAGGGTCATCTAGTCCAACCCTCTGCAATGCTGGAATCTCAACTTGAGCATCCATGACAGATGGCCACACAAACTCTGCTTCAAAACCTCCAAGGAAGGAGAGTCCACCACCTTCTAAAGGAGTGCATTCCAGAAGGTTCTTTCTCGTGTTTAGTTGGAATCCATGTCACTTAAATCCATGGGTTCGAGTCCTACCCTCCGGAGCAGGAGAAAACAAGCTTGCTCCTTCTTCCCATGTGACGGCCCTTAAGATATTTGAAGATGCCCATTACATCTCCTCTCAGTGTCCTCTTCTCCAGGCTCAGCACCCCCAACTCCCTCAACTGTTCCTCATAAGGCTTGGTTTTCAGATCCTTGGTCATCTTTGTTGCATGCATTACAGCTTATCTGTTGGATGGATATAGATGAGTAGGTGAGGATATTTTATTTATTAATTATCCATCCTCTTTCACATGTGAGAATGCTATTATTATTATTATTATTATTAATCAGTACATGGATACACAGTGTTTTCATCCCCACGGGCTAAGGAACAGTGGCTGGCCCAAGGCCATCCCATGAGTTTCAGGAGCTCTGAACCCAGGTCCCCTCAGCCCTCGCCCAATGATCCCACTTCAGCAAAGCGGCATCACTGCACCAAATCAACTTGTCCTGGCCCAGTTCTGTTAAGAGGAATGCATTTAAAATCAGCCTTCTGAAATACGTTTCAATTCATCATTGTAATGAATTCTAATGATCTTCCGAGACATACTGAATTGCCTCGTTTTCGAGACCGTAATTCATAGATATCAACAGATGAATAGCCATTAGACAAAATGTGGTGGTGGTTTCCTTTTTGCAGGCAAGGGATTGGGGTTGGCCCTGCTATTAGATCGAGTAAGGCAACTGCCTCAGGCAGCATTGACTCAGGAGTAGCAGCAGCAGTTTCTGGCTGTTCCTCCTGGGTCCCCAGCCAGTCTCTGCTGTTTCCACATGGCCACTCCTGCCCCACTTAGAAATCTGACCTGCTGCCTCAGGCATGGTGGGGAATGTCACCAGAGTGGAAGTAAGATTGACTTCTATATGTGGAATTAGGGGGTGGTCAACTTTTCTTCCGCCTCAGGTGGCAAAATGTCTTGGACTGGCCGTGGATGGCATCAAGCAAAACTTTCTGGAGAGTGTCTTTGGAGAAAGACACAGGGCCTGGGACTTCACCTGCTTTATGT